CTTGCTTTTGCCTTGCAATATGCGACCGCACCTTGGCCAGGTAGCGCACGTGACCTTCTCCATGGGGGTCGCCCCCGCCCTGCTGGAGCCGCTGTGCATCAAAGAAGAGGTCGTTGCTGAGGTAGGCGCCCTGGAGCTCCCTCTCCAGCCCCTCGACCACGGCCATCAGCTCGGCCAGCTGCTTCCTCTGCTCGTCCCCGGAGGCCCGGTTGCTGAAGGCGCAGTACCTGTGCCCGCACTCCCGGACCAGGCCCCTCAGCCTGACGTTGTCTGTGTTTGCTACGTAGTCACGCAAGGATCCGTCCCCCAAGTCCTCCTTGTGGGTGAAGAGGATGACCGTGTGTCTCAGGGCTCTCGCCCCAAAGACCTCCTTCACCCTGGTCACGGCCACCACGTCCTGCTCTGTGAAGCGCCCCAGCTGGGTCACCAGCAGCAGCACGTGAGGCCCCGGGGCCGAGAGCAGGTAGCAGTCCCCGATGTTCTCGTACGCCTCTTGGTCCTGGGCCCTCGCCTCAAACATGGGGGGCGTGTCCACCACCAGGACGCTCCTCCCATCCCACGTGCCCGTTGCGCCCTGACACTTCCTGGTCACCGACTGGGCCGCCAGCCTGGACTCAAACGCTGGCTGGCAGAGGATGCTGTTCCCGGTGGCGCTCTTCCCGCTGCCTGTTTTGCCCACCAGGATGATCCGCAATGAGGACGAGGTTGCAAACAGCTTATGTTCTATCCCGCCTATAAAAAAAAAAAAAAAAGAGTTTTTCGTGTTTTACTAAGTCATTGATTGAAAAAATTTTTATTTTATGTTGGAGTTTAGTTTATTAACAATGTTGTCTTAGCTTCAGGTGTGCAGCAAAATGATTACGCTATACATATACGTGTATCTATTCTTTTTCAAACTCTTTTCTCATTTAGGTTATTTCGGAATATTAGCAGAGTCCCCTGTGCTATACAGTAGGTCCTTGTTGGTAAAGTTAGTGATTCTTAAGATTTTTAGGTCACGGACCTTTCATGGTATCTCATGAAAGCTATGGACCTCTCTCCCTGCCAAACAGTGATATTTAAATACATACAAATGTTTGCAGACAACTTGAGGCGACTCTTGAATGGCAGGAAGCCCACACTGGGAGCCCGAACTTGGACGCATAGCCAGGAGTAAGAACCGCTACACTGTGAAGGATGCTCCAGGGGCTTCCTCAGGACCAGGGAAAACACAGCTTTCAGAAAGCTGGTCCCTGAGCTTTTCCAGGGATCGTGCTTAGCCCAGTTTCATGCTAAATAAACGTGAGATTAGAAAGAGGTGGAGGATGAGAAGTCATCAGTGAGAAACTATGATCACCTCTCTTTCGCCCACCAATTAATTCCCAGGCACACAGGCTGCCAATCACATTCATCTGAACCTTGGGGGTAAAGGAAGTCTCAGATGTCAAGAGCTCCAGTGACCTACCACCGAGGACCAGCTGAATGGCCCTGGGTTTCCTCTTTTTGGGTGGGGAGTTGGATGTTTGAACGTGAGCCTACAGAAGGCTTGTCGTTAAAGTCAAGGACGGAGTCTTGTGACGGGACACGCTGTCCCAGAACATACAGTTTCGATTGTAATACTTGGAATTAATGATGGAATGTTTTGGTTTAAAACTGTTTGCACCGTAACTGCTTTTATTGCTAACCGCCTGACTTGGCTGCTGTGAAATTGAGCTTTTCTTGCCAGCATAATGTGAACAGGAAGACGCTGGGTTCCGGATGGCCGACCCAATAGTTCAAAATTAGAACGAACATCCTGTTACCCTGGGATATAAAAACCACACCCGTACAAGACTCGGGGTCTCACCCTGCTTTTGGTGAGGCCCCGATCGGTTTGCGCTTTTGTGCGTAATAAACGCCTATCACTAATCTACTTTGGATTTGCACTGGATATTGGTGTTCTGTCTTGGTTCTGATTCCTCTCCGAGGGAAGTTCGCAGGTGTGTGTGAGACCGCAACAGTCTGACAGATGACCCTGGATCGGTGGCTGAGGAAGAGATGATAAGACCATCATGTATAAGAAATACATGCGTTGGAAAGATCGTCAATTTGGCTGATAGAATGACAGGAAATTAGAACAAAACTGGTGTTGTCGAGGGTGACCCTGCATCAAGAGCTAAAATCTTCAAGGGATGAAGAGAGTGAGAATCCGAGGATTTCTGGAGTTCTTAGGAGCTCAAATGAATTAAGTTCATTTTAGTCTCCTAAAATCTGTTATTGTTATTCCTTTTACCCTGTGTTGGTTCTTCCCTTTCTTAAGTATCCTGGATTTTTTTTTAGCAAACACGATTTACTAAATCTTTATGGGGAACTTTTCCTCTTTTCAGTTGAGTGCAGGCAGGGAAGGATATCATTTTTACAATTCGTTTCCAAGTCCCCTGACTTCTGACTTGAAGTTTCATTTCCTCATTTCCCATACATCACGGCACAGGGGAGAGCTTCACACTCGGGTGTGTGTGCTGTGATGATGGTGGGGAAGATAAGAACATGATAGCTGCCTTTTCTTCTGCAGTGGAAAATAACTGGGTTTCTTTTCTGTCACTGTGTTTGAGGTGAGGGAAAGGAGGATAGAAAACAGTGACTCTTCCCTGATGCCTAGAGCTCTTGAGAATTTGGAGGCTTTCTTACCTTCAGCCATAGTCCCGTATCTGCTCCTCTGAAGCCCTTCCATTCTCTTCTGGAATAAAAAAAGGAAAGGAATAAAAAGCAGGTGTCCATATGGGACTTGGTAAGGCCTGAGAACACCTCCAATTCAGACAGCCAAGAATAATTATCCTTAGATGAGCCGCTTCCATCGCTAATTTTCTAACTTATATTTTACTTTCAAATATCCATATATAACTTTAAGCAAGCCAGGTGGTGCTAGGTTATATTAACACAATGAACTCCTGCTTTTTCCTCATCCTATAGGAAAGCATGAAATGTTTGAAAACAAGTCAGTTGATTATCTCCCCTCTACCTGAAAAGGCATGAAATAAAGAAAGTCTTCTTCTGTGGAATGAGAAGCAGGATTTTGTTTACTGTGTTATTATTACTATTATTATTGGAATCAAAGTAAGCAAACTTGCTAGACTAGAGAATAAAAATTGCCTTGCTGTAAATGACATTGGCTTGTTTGAAGTATTGGCCATTTCCAGCCCCAGAAACTCTTTGAACCAGATGGATATCCCAGTGGCAAGGAGGAAAGTACAATGTACCTTCCAATGGGAGTGTGGAATTGGGGATCCAGGGCTCCTGTGAGGACGGACATGAGAGGGCGAGGTAGAAGACGGAGGAGCACGGCCACCACCCTCCCTCCCCTCTGAGCAGCTGGTGGAGAGAAGCTGGTGCCATGACTGAGGGACAGAGTCAACATTCAGGACAAATTCAAGGTAAATTCACTTCCTGCTCAGTTTTAAACCACATGTCTTTCCTTGTGGGTCTCCCAATAACCACTTAAAAAATTTTCCAGTAGATATACCCAGAAATTGGCAAAACTATGGGGATAAATGTTTCATTCAGATGAGACATAATATTGTGTCGTTCTTCTTGGTGCTAGAAAAGGTGAGCATTAGAAAAGGCAAGCATGCAATGTGCCACTATAATTAAGATGATCTCTGAGACTATATTTTATTTATTCAGTTTTAAAGATTATGCAGTTCTGAAGCAAACATTTTAAGGGGAGAAATACACAGAGTAATGAAACAAATGCCCACTACTTGCAGTGAACAGATCTAAGTATTTTGGCATTTTCACTGCTGCTGTTTGGTTTGACTGAAAAAGTTAAAACATTACACATATAGTTCCATTTATTTATTTTTTTGACTCCCCCCAACCCGTCTCATTCTCCCTCTTCCCTTCAGAGGCAACCAATATTCTGAGATACACATGTATGTATAGGTAATATATAGTACTTTTTGGCATTTTAATCTTTTATGTCAGTGACATTATTTATGTAGCATTTTATCCAACTCAATTTTATTAACAAACACTTGGTGAGCCAAAATACGTGCTTGCTACTACAAACCACGCTGCAGAAGAATCCCCCTACACGTCTCCTTGTGCACGTGGACGATTGCTCTGGGATATATAGTTTCCACATGACAAGATACTGCCGAATATGACTCCAAGAAGCTTGTGCTAAGTCATACTGGCAGCAGCCATGGGTGAGAATCCCCCCAATCTTCACCTACGCTTGGTGATATTAGAGTTTTAATTTTTTGGTCGCCCTGATGGGCATATCTTAGGATGTCTTAATTGGTTTAAAGGTGCATTTTATTGATTAACATTGAATTCAAAACGGTTTTCATAGTTTACTTGCTATACAGGTCGATTCTGTTTTTTCTACCTCTTTCACATGTTTCTATTCACTCTGGAGGGAAGACTAGAAATGGCCCTCATTAGGGAAACCAGCCCTTGTCACATGCTCAGAATTTATTAAGGCAACTTCCTTCCTTCCTTTCCTTCTCCTTCTGCACCACTTTCCTTTCCTTAAGCCCAGAGAAGAGCATTTTCCTCACCACATTCTCCCACACGCTGTCCTGGCCTCTGGTAAATAACACTCCAGCTTTCGCTAAAACTGCTCAAATCCTCTGACATCTTTTCTACTTCAGACGGCAGTTGCTATATATTGGAATCAATATATCGATGTGGTAAAGACGATGACGACAGTGGTGACAATGTTGATGATAACTTTACCATGGTAATAATCCTCTGTGCAGACGTTTGTAATTTTCAAGTTTCTTTCATGTCCATTCTTTGAATCGTTCTCCTAAATTCCCTATGATGTGATCAAGATAGGTATTAAAATTTCTATTAAAATATTAGGAAACTAAAAGAAAAAAAAATTTTAGGAAACTGAGCCTCAACTGACCTGCCCACGATCACACAACTTCCATGGAGCTAAGACCAAAACATGGCTCATTTTGCCTGTGTATTCTCCTAGATTTATCAGGGTGGAGAAGAGATTATACAGTCAATGAACCTCTTGGAACACCACATACCATGCTGCCATCCATGGTCAGGACATAAACTGAGGCAGGCAGGCTGGAAGCTTACCCTAAAACTAACAAAGGGAACTGTATTGCAAAATCTTGAGTGCACGTTTTCAAAAAAAAAAAAAAGATTATTCAAAGGTAAAATCGCAGGGGCAGAAGTTGCTCGGAATGGAAGTATTTCAGTTTAAAGCAATCTGGTGTTTTCCCAAGACTTGATGATCAGTGTGACCCAAATGGAGCTCTGTGGCCTCACAAAAGCCAGTCAAAGTTCAGGTTACATTAGCAGAGGCGCGCACGGTCCTCCTGAACCGTCTTCTGAGTGGGTCAGGCTGCCGGGGGAGACACGTCCCACCGAGGAGTAGATTATTTTGGACAGATATTAACAAATAATAAAGTGTGCAGAGGCTAGTCAGAAAGGATATTGATGGAGATGCTAAAATGAGTCATAGAATATTAAAAGGACAGAATCAAGCCTAGGAAAAGATCGGGAAACATCCTAAACTCGAAGGAACGTGACACGTGTCAATCACATCGTAGACAGAAGAGGGAGAATCGCGAGTGGAGGCAGATTTCTTCTCCACAAGGAAAACCCTTTTAATCTTCCCCCAGGCGGGATCAGGAATCATGAGAGAGTCGCGGGCAGCATGCGGGCAGAGATTATAAGAGTATCTGACAGGAGCAGCAGGAGGATGTAGCTTAGGTAGGAGGTTGAAGCCAATGAGCATATAATGTACCTCCTGATTGGTACACTACACGAACCTGATTTTATCTTGACGGCACCTTACTTTATCAAACCATTGGAAAGCAGGCTCTCTCATGCTGTTTTAGGAAAGATAAAAATATTTTCTGTCTGCCTGATTCATATTCTCCTTCGCCCATCTGCCCCCTCCCGCTGTTTGCTGGTATCACTTGTGTCAGAGTTTAGCGTTGTGATTTTATAACGCGGCTCTCACAGGAGCTTTAGCAAAGGGTTGGTTCCTGTACACACTGGAATCTGTCTGCCATACTGTCGAGCTCGACATCGTGTCGTAGGAAAAGTGTGGGTATTTGGGGGAGAATGGGCTGGTTTTCAGAAGATCAATGAACAATGTTCACTGAGAGGTTCCGTTTGGAGCACGTGGCTCAATGAGGGCGGGAACATAATGACCCCGAACTTGTCCTGTGGACCCCTAGGAATAGACTCTCGGTACCCAGGCCTCTGGGGGTGTGGTGCTTGTCAGGGATGGGGCGGGGCTGGTGCGGGGAAGTGAAGAGCTAAAACTGAGACGTCCGCCCCACCTAGTTCGGGCACCTGGTGAGTTTCAGTTTACTCATCTGTCAAATGGGTTGAGAATCTTAGTGAAGCTTTATGAAACCCCGTGAAGCTTATGAAAGTCAGAAGAGCTAAAGAAGTAGGCAACTAGACGGAAAAGACCTCCACGCTGTGGAAAGCTGTGGGCCGTGAACGCGGGGTGAGCGGTTCCCGAAGCCGCTTCCCTCCCGCTAGGAATCCGCGGTTGCCCATAACGCTCACCATCGGCGCCCCGTTTCACTGATGGGAGAGCCCAGAAGCATGGTAACCGGTGTCAGATCCCACGAGAAATCAGTAGCCCTGACTCAGCCGCGGCCTCCAGGACGCGCCCCCCCTCCCCGGGCCTCCACCCAGGACGCTGGGACCCCCGCCGGGTTCCCCTTACCAGGCGCGGCGCTGCGGGCTGGGTGCCGGCGGGTCGGCGCGAGCGCGCGGCCGAAGGTTCCAGGGCACGGCTGCAGGGCAAGAAGGAAAATGGGGCTGACGGAGTGCGCCTCCTGTCCCCGCAGTTGGGGACACCCCCTCCGGATGGGGCGAAACTGCTGCTGCGGAAACCGGAAAGCAGCGAGTTCGGAGCGTGCTTCCCCCCTAATGGGATGCTTCCTGTCGGAGCCCGCGAGCCCCTCGCCCACTCCCATTTCCTCTTTAAGACGTGTGCAAAGAAGTGATGTTTGGAGCGTGAAAGAGAAGAACACGGGCCCCAATCCCCCCAGTTCCCCCGTTGCTAAAGACCCCTGTTGCCTCCGCGGGCGTGTCGTGCTCTCCGGCCACCATTCCCGGAAGATCAACCTTTCATCTCTCCTGTTGAGTCCAAGTACCTCTCACTCTAACACAGACCACGCTGACCTGAGTCTCCCTGTGAAAGCACCTACAAAGAGATCTACTGAGAAAATTAGTTATTTTCTTTGGCACAGGAAAGAATCACTGGCTTCTCAGGAAGGAGGACTTGTCTACCTTCGTGCAAAGCTGGAGCCCAGATGTGGAACAGGTTAGAATGGAGCCTTCCTCCTTTCCAGAAACTCCCCAGGGCTGGGAGGCAGAAAGTGACTACCCTTGTCTTTTGTTTCTTGGGGTTGGGTGTCTCTTCTTGGGGGTGTGTGTGTGATGTTTGAGGAGTGGTAAGCAGTTCTCTTCAGCGTATCCATGAGCTATTTCGCCAGCATGTGGAAGAATAGATCTTAGGTGTTTTCAGATGTAGTAAATCAAGGGATATACACGATTTAACACTATTTCCAAAGTAAAAAGGAGTGCCTGAAATTAATGGTGTAGAGTGAAAGGAAATATAAAATAAATAAGAACTGGGCCGAGAAGGAGATTGAATGTAAGGTATAAAAATAATGAAGACCCCAAATAATAATTAAAACAAAACACTACATCATTTTGGAAGACAACAACTTAAAAAAAAAAAAAGAGGTAAAAGACAAATTTAGAAAAAATCTCAAAATATTTTATTGCTGGAATAAGCAAGCGCAAATGCAGTTGTATAAGAAAAGGCAAACATTGCCACTATCAGATGAAGGCTCCC